TTTTTTTTTTTTTTTTTTTTTTTAAGAAAAGGAAAAATTTATTTAAACTTATATAAAATTTATTTAAAATTTATTTATTAAACCAGTAGTAATGAAAATATCTTATTATAATATTATGTTATACTACATATTATTATTTCGAAGCATTTGTAAGATTTTTTAAAAAAAAATTTTCTAACTTTAAAAATAAGTTTGAAACTCAAAAATAATGTAATATTATAGAAATAATGATAGAATCATATAACTCTGAAGAAATTATATAATTTATTATATTTAAGCAAATGTGGATTCAATAGATTTGATTTGTTTGAAAATGAAAATGTTCTACTATGCATATATTATGTATTATAATAGAAATAATTGATCTCTTTAATAATATAAATTAAAATAATTGTTTGTTAATTTTCTTATTTTTTTTTTAAACAAAAATATTAATCATCTATTTAACTTTTTCCTATTTGATTCTATCATTATTATGAGACTATGATGTAAATTGTCTCATGATCATAGATATAATAAACTATGAATACAAATTAAAATATATATACAATTACAAAATTAAATGAATGGAATTAAAATAGAGATCTATTTCTTTCTTTAATATAATCAAATCTGGTTATTTTAAGCAATTTTCAAATTACATTATTTTGAAATTATTGAAGAAATAATTTATTTTTAAAATAAGAAATATTTCATATATATGTTTTAATTAATTAAATGATTTAATTAACATTCTACGAAATAAATTATTTAAATTATTTCTTATTATTAATTAATTTCCTAATATTATATTATTGCTAACTAATACTATTATTACTACATTATATTATTGTTATACTATTATTCAATATTCTTTGTACATCACATGCATTTTGTACATTTTTATACAATTCCAATTTTTCATAAATTCATAAACTTCTCTATTTTCTAAATTATCTTAAAAAATTGCATTTCTTAAACTTGTTATAAATTTATTAATAATAAATAAAATCATATATTATCAATTTCAAAAATTACGAATAATTATTTCTCTTATTATATTTTTTATCTGTAATAATACTTATCACTATACGTTTACTATACGTTTAATATGCGTGCTATTTGATTTTTGTAGATAAAAGTTCCTTCGTGTTTCAGCTTATTCTCGGATTTGAGAAGCCTGGCGGGCACGACCCTTATGAATCTCTTGGCAGCTCTCTTCATGGTTCAACTACTCTTCATAGTTGGAGTGGGTGGCGTTCAGGTAAGTTTCGACAGCTTTTTCCAAAGGAAGAATTTTTCCTCTTCTCCCTTTTTTAACTTTTGCTGTTTGTTAGATATAAGTAGATCTATTCGAAAATTTGGCATTGCATAAATAATTTTTTATGCAATTCTAATAATTTTTAAACGATATCAAGTTTAAATTTTTAAATATCATGTATAGTTTATGAAATATTTTACACGAAAAGTAAATCGATTTACTTGCAATAAAATGATTTGTTTGTTACTTTATGAAGTATTATTTATTATTTGTAATTTTTTATTCAAATTAATTCTTATTAAATATGCAACGTTTCAAATATTTACATTATTACTATGTATAATTATTATTATTATATATTATTACTAATTTATAAAAATAAAAGTTATAAAATAATAATAATATTAATTAATTATATATTTTGAATGTTTATTGAAAAATAAATTTAAATAAATTTTCAATTAACAAATAAACTTTATTGTTTTCAAATAATTAATTTTTCAATTACACACTTGGCCAAATAAAAAACTTAAATAAATATAATAAAAAAATATAATATTGATTAAATAAACATTATACGTATCGAATAATGATTAACAATGATTAACATTATTTGAAATAATTATTTTTAAATTATCATTTCAAATAAATTTCGCCAAAAATTGTTTTTAATAATTATATAATAATTAATAATTATAATTATTTAATAAGTTTATTTAATAATTATTAATTTAAATCATGAATTATATTTTAATAAAAAAATATAGCTAGCCATATCGTTATCTTTTTCTCAACACATAAAACTATTTTCGTGTAAATTGTAAAGAGGTTTTTACCCGTCACGCGTGTCAGGTTAATTAGCGCGGATTTACCGTCTCTCGGTAAAAAAGGGAAAAAAGAAATCGAACGAGAAAAGAAAACGGTTCGAGGCGATGGATAGATTACCGAGAGAGCACGAAGGTTTTTCTTTTAGGGAGATGAAAAAAAAAAAGAAAAGGACGTTTACACGTAACGTCCGAGACCTCAGTTGAAGGAAAAGTGAATAGAAATCGGGCAAGTCGCAAAGGGAATGTCATTGCACGGCAAGAGAGGGAATTTTAAAAGCTGTTAAAAGCGGTCTCGCGAGTGCACGTAGTCTGGAATCACAGCAATACTCTAGAGTCAAACAAAAGCCACGGAATTCTGTTCAACGTGTGATTTCTCAGCTGCTAAGCTCTTTAATGAAAAGAGCACCGCAAAGGACATACGACTTCTGCCAGAAACAACTAGTATGCATCTTTCTGTTTCTTTTCCTTTCTCGTAAAAATATTTCTCTCTTTCGGTTGAAAAAACATAGCCATGTCATTAGGGAAGTAGTAGCGTGTAACATAAAAGAGGTTGGCAGTTTGATGATGTCTCGAGTTAGTGTTGGTTATAGATGTGTATATGTATGTCTATTCGCACACCTATATTTATTTTTTTGTTGCTTATCTTTAGTTTTGTCTAATTGTAATTATATATATTAACCATTGTTTCTATCAGAGCTCATAAAATGTTTCTGCTTTTTTTAAATCTAAGAGTTTTTGAATATGAAAAAATAAAATGTTGGGATTATTAATGCAAAAGATACAAAAAAAATATTTAATCTATATAGATTAAATATATAGATAATATATACATATATACATATATAAACATATATATTATACATATATATATACATACATACATATATATATACATATATATAAACATAGATAATATATATAAATAATATATAGTGATAATAGTGAAATCTTTAAAAATATCAGTAATTATTAACTATTAATAGCTAATTTATTACTTTTATTTATTTTATTATTTATTATTTATTATTACTTTTCAAATATTCAAATTATTACATTTTTCTACATAAAAAATGTTAAAAAATACAATACAATATTTTGTTAATTCTTAAAATTGATTTAAACTAAATGTTTGTCATAGTATTATAATAATTAAAATAAAAATTATAATGAACTTTCATGACAACCGTTGTTTTTTATTAATGTTTCTTTGTTTATGAATTCTTGTTCCATTGAATCTTTGCTTTTGCTGTTTTTACATATAAACATTTAATCTAGTTTATTTTATAATTTTTAAGAAATTAAAAAAATGTAAATTATTATATAATGATGATTTGAAATAAAGAATAGAAGTTATTAAAATTATTTATTAAATTATGAAGTTATGAAGTTATTTATTAAATTACAAGAAATTTATGTTTTTTTTTGGATAAAACAAGATGGAATGTGACGGAAATAGAAATTGTTTATAACTTAATAAATAAGACTTAATCATTATTTTTATATATCAATTTTCACGTTTGTTTTTATCTTTAGAATTAAATCTACAAGGATTTTCCATGAATATAATAACATTTTATATAACTTTATTTAACTTTTATATAAGTAATATAAGAAAAAGAACAAAATTAAAAATAAATGATTAAATGCTACATTGGATTCGATCGGTAGACGAAATATGAAATCTTAATCATAAAGAAAATATATTAGTAATATTTCTAAGACTTAGTATACATGTACATAATATACACATAAATTATATATGATGTAGATTAATAAAGTCGTTAATTTATCATTATATTGGAGAGCATTTAATATCCATCTAAAGAATTTAATCCCTTGATTTATAATAGAATATTCTGAAGCTCACGTTTAATAAATGAGATATTCTAAAGTTTATTACAAAATGAAATATATTAATTTTAATAAATTGGAAAATTAGCAATCTATGAGAATTCAAATCGTTCAATCAAATTGAATCAAAAATTTGTTCAAGATCAAATTTGTTTCCTAAAAATAACTCACTATTGATCACAAATGTAAGACAGAATCTTTAAAATATCGAGAATTTCGAGAAATTTGAATATATTTTGAAATCAGATTTCTGTTATATATATTGAAACAAATAGATTTTTTTTTTCATTTTTAAAAAAATTCTATTCAAATTTTACATTTTATCATTAACATTTTCATAAATAAACTAAATTTATTAGTAATTAAATTTATAAGTAACTAAATTTTTATGAAAAGAAGCATTATAATTAAAAAATTATTTAAAAAATGGAATTTATGAAATAGATATTTTATAATCTATTTAATAAAAATATTGGAAGTATATAGAAACAAATTATTTTAAAATATTTATTAAAAAAGATTTCATAAAATAAATAAAATTATTAGGTAGTAGTTTTATTTAACAATATATCATTAATGTTTATGATAGATATGATGTAATATTTTTAATATTATTTTTAATAATATTATTCATTGTCATTTAATAATATAAGTTTTATGTTTAATTAAATAAATATATTTAGTTATCAAACATATATATATTCAACATTTGTTATAATATTGAAAAACATTTTAATATCGATAAATATTTGTTTTTGTAAATAAATTTTTATAAATTATTTCAAAATGTTTGTTAAAAAATAAAATAAAATTCTATAAGATAAATAAAATTATTAAACTATTAAAAAATAAATAATTTTATTTAACAATAAAATATCATAATACATTAATAAGAAATATTATAAATTATTATTTAATATTTTTGTCTATTCTTAAATAATATTTAAAATATTTCAATATTTGTATTTATATGATTTTTTAATATAAATGAATAAAAATATATGTTTCTGTAAAAAAAAATTCTTATTTTTATATTTCATAAATTCTTATAAAATTAAAACTTTTATTTTTAAGAAATTTTTTTTATCTGTTCTCATCAAAACTTGTAATGTAAAAATTTTTTAAAAAAAAATTTCATAGTTCATGTTATAAATAAAATCTTGATTGCCATTTTAATATAAGCCATGGAATGTCATGAATCCAGAGATTTTAATTAATATTCGTAGATGGAAAAGAAAAAAAGTGATATCGTAATAATATTATATTATATTATACAAAATATTGTGCTATTTTTAAAATTATAATTAAAACTAAAACTAAAACTAAAAAATAATAATTATTATAAATTACAATTTAAAATATTCTTTTCATCCTAAATTAATAGAATTTTAAGTTTACAAACAAGAAATTGTAAATCATTTATGAAAATTATTTATATTATAATTCATATAATTCATATAATTTAAATAATAAATAAATATTTAAGAATAGCTTTTTTTTATTTTTTTATATTTTTTGATTTCAATATTGTGTTGATTTTAATTTATTACAAAATATTTAATAAAATATGAAATTCCATGATATAATTCCATTTTTTATTAATTGGACTTAAATTATGATTTACCTATTATTTTTATAGCTGGTTCTTTCTGATTATCTCCTGTTTCTTGCCAATCTTGTATTCTAATATTCCTAACTAGATATTGTTACTAATTCTTATACTAATGAATTTTTCTATTAATTTCGAGAACATAATAAGATTAAAAGATTTGGAACAAATTAAAAATTATTATTTCACAAATATTTTTAATTTATATATTTATCTGTAAATATCGTTTTTCGTTTTCGTTTTCAAATATCAATGAATTTATAACATAAAAATAAAGAAAACAGAAGTTAAAATACATTATTAATAACATGATAAAAATATGAATTAAAGACAAATAAATACAAAAGGTATATATAATAAAAAATTTATTAATGTTTGCAATGAAAATTAATTTTATCGAAACTATCTTCATATTAAATCTGATTAAAATTAGAAATAAATTTTTCTCATTAATAGAAAATAATCATACAATTTTAATTTTAACTTTTTTGTTCCATTTTAAATTATATACATATTTATGCTGCCTTTTAATTAAAACTAAATCCTATCTTTTTAAAATTGAAAAATCTGAGAAATTTAATTTCAAAAAATTAAATTTTATTTAATTTAAGATTTTATCATTTTCTTTTCCATCCTTTTTAACCTTTTCATATTGTAAGATTAAAGACATCGTTACAATTACTTTCAAAGCAATGATGATCAAGTAAAATATCAGT